TTTTTGAACATAATACAGGGAGGGACCTAAGAGTGACTCTCATAGCTGTGGAGGAAGAAAGGGGTAAGAAAAGACACTGAGTACTATAAATATGTGTATTGCTCACAATTTTTAATGATCTATTTTCCAGAGTTACTACTTTAGCCAAATTTCTCCTACCATTTGCTGTGGAGATTCAGGAAGCTGCAGAAGACAGGTGGACATGGATACACCCCTAAATCCAACCTCTCTCTGCCCATACACTCCCGTGCCAGGCCCACGGCAGAGTTAGTGTGGCAATACCATTATCCATGCTGACTCTGTAGTGGGAAAAGCTGGAGCCCAGTCCCATACCCTTGGGTGACAAGGCTGTCATCCTGCACAACCAGCTCAGAACCGTGGGCCAGATGGGGGTAACGCTGGTCCTTAAATGTCACTGGTGCCCTTCCTCAGACCTGGCCAACCTGGAGCCCAATGCCTCAGAGGAGCAGCTACACCGGGTATAAAAATGTGGGGAATGGCTGTGCAGGACCCTGCCACTTTATCCCAAATAATGGACACCTCTTTCACATCACCTATGCAAACGTTCACTGTCCTGGCACATGTCAAATACGAGGCTTGCCATAGTGCTGTAGGCAATGATAACACTGCTTTTCTGTGTCATCTTGGTGGCTTAAAGGAGCTAAAACCGTGAGCAGAGTTGGTGCTGCACTGGCCCCTCCATCCCTCTGAGGGAGGGAGGGAGGGAGGGAGGCTTCTGCATATGTGGACACCTACTTCGTGTTGGGGATCCTCCCTGGATTCATAGCCTTCCTGAGAGTCCCATCCACATGCTGTCCTCCAACAATCCATGGTTTGGTGCTAGTGAGAAGTTGAGTTTTCTCTATAGTCTCTCCATAGAGCCCTTTACTTTTGTTCAGCAGTTCTTTGTTGTTCTGGTAATACAAGCTAACAGCCTCTTGAACTAGCATCTCTTTATCAGCAGAAGAGCATCACAATTCAGAACATCAAGTGCTGCACTTGTGCCCTCAGGAGGGAACACAGAGGGTGGGAAGATGAAGAAGATGAACCAGTCTATATCTCTTTGAAAGGCCAAAAAACCACTGAGATGGAGTGTGTGTGTTTATCTAGGGGCTGGGCTTTTCAGTCTCAGATCTTGTTGCTGGAAATGGGAATCAAGCATAAGTGTCTCTTCTCCCTTACTGAAAAAAATCAGGATATCATGACATTTGTCATATACACCTTACTGACTTGCAAGAAAATAATGTGCTCGGTGTATCTCACAGACAATAAGGAACGAAATCTCGCCCTGCCTTCGTGCCACACTGCAGTCCTATGGAGTGATTTCAATCTAATGAAAAATGAGAAATAAGTAGGACCCCAGAGATATTAATGAAATACCTGTCACACAGCATGCCAGCAGCAGTGGCAGCATGAGAGTGCACGAATCCTGGCCAGTCCTCTACTTCAACCCTGCTGTTAGCTGGTTCTTGAGTATTTCCCTACAGATCCCATTATTGCTTCACCTGAGAGTCTCACCTCAGGTTTTCAGCTAAATGACAAGTGAGAATCTTAGTTGCTCTATGCTCCATCTGTACTCAACAAGAGATGGAGGAGTAAATTATATCTCATGTGGGCTACCTCACATCGGCTAAACCACTCTCTGTAAGTGCTGATCCTCCCGTTAGCTGTAATCAGAGACTAACCAAAACTAATTCAAGTCTGTAGGGTAAATGTCTAAAATTGAACAGTCCCACGCCAGTCATATAAATGCATCCTATCATTTACTCAGGCTCTTGTGTTTGGAATGAACCATCACCTGTTCCTGGAAACTGGGAGAATACATTCAGGGCCATTTTCCGGATTTCCTTCAGAGCAAGCTGCAGGTTTATGCATGTGGGGCTCATCTATTGGTGCCTCTGCCTTTCAGCAGAGGAGATGTTGCTTAAATAGCTGTTTGTGTGTGTGTGAATATGGTTATCATTGTTGTGTTTCTTGCCTGCATCCTTTTGTTGGGTGTGGATCACTACATAGGCTAAGGAAGAGAGAAAATACACAACCTGACTTGGTTGCAGTGTACCTGATGAACTGGTAGCTTCCATGCCATCCTCTTTCTGCACTGGGGATACATTTTCAGATTTGAAGCTGAAAATATGAGAGCATCATTGATCAAGTGTAGCATATAGCAGGGTCCTGACATTGTATTAACAACACACCCAGAGACTTTCTGCAACCTGAAAAGAGCAAAGGCGAATTCCTGGTCCCATGGAAATTAATAAGACTGGTATGTGTTATAATTTCACACCTTTATGAAAGGAAGAAGGCATGGGAGACTTGCCAATTCTCTCCCTACATAAAAATCACTCATGTGCTTAAAAAATCACTGACATTAAAACATGTTTCACATATAATGGAAGAACTCATAACAAAGAAAGAGAAGATGAGCAAATCATGCTGTAAACTAGTAACAATATATAAGGAACAAAGACATTAGAAAATAACAGGTTTTTTAATGTTTTAAATTGGGAATGAAAATTAACTGAAACTAAAGCTCTTAAAAGTTTCAAATATCTCCATGTTGATTTTAAAATAAATTAATTTCGTTCAAAAAAGAGACTTATGTTTTCAAAATTGCCAAGCGACAGACTGATTTTTTTTTTTTTTCAGCTTGAACAGATTTAACTTCTAATTGATAAAAAGTATAAAAGATATTTCAGTCAAAATGAAAATGAATTTTTCTGGCCATATCTAAATTAAAATTTTCCTGGATTTTGGTCAAAGAAAATTGTGGCTATTTTGACTTTTTGTCTAAATATTTAGTGGGAAAATGCTTGGGTGCTTAAAAAAATCTCTGCATGATAGAAAAATGATTAGAAATCATGTACTGGAACCAAGATTGTTTAGTGGCAGACTAAAGCCAGAGTCTATTAAGTGTGTATGCATTTAAGCCCATAGAAATACCTGGAGTGTCAGAAAAAGTTTTGAAATAATTGAAGTTTAGGTTATTGAAGTGACTACCCTTTTGGGTAAGTTGTTACTGTCCTGAAGTATCTCCCTGGCAGAAGCAGAAGCACACTGCATGTCACTGCCATCCCTTGCAACCAGTATGCCAGGACCCAGCTTCTGTGAAGTGCTGTGCTCCTAAATCCTTTTGATTTCAACAATTTGAAGTCATTCAAATATCTCTGAGGATAAGTGTAGGCAAATTAGAAAATTGTTTCCATGTATAAAGTGCTAGGTGGATGGGGAAGAGAAATGATGGTTACTTTCTATAGGTCTAAAAACTAAAATGTTGTTTCATTTTGTCTTGTGCTGATTGTGAAATTAATAAATAAATGAAATGCAATTACATCATGACACATGATATGCATACATTGCCTGTGTATCTGTATATGTCATAGTAAGTGACTATCCTTACTGATGCAGCAGTCTTTAGGAGGAGACCAAACAGTATGATGCACACAAGCATTGTGTTGCTCAGGCCGGGCACGCGGCTTCAGCTGCATTGCATTTCAACACTCAGATGAGGGTTTTGAAACACCTCAATTTCCACCTGCTCTCACATTATTTTTTCTTTGTGACTGAATCTGTATTACCAGAGCAAGTCCAAGATCCTGGGTCCTCTTATATCCCCTCCTGAGAGATGAGTTAAGATGCAGCAAATGACCAGTCCCAGTCCCATCTGCCCCTTCTTGATTTCCATGGTAAAGAAATCCAGGCATGTGGGATGTAGGAATCTCTGATGTGCTCTGAACAAGTCAGCTAGTTAGCTACCAGGATTCTAGGGGACCAGGGTCCTAAGATCTACAACATGTGCTGGGAGGTATTTCTACAAACACCCAAGAAACAGAGTGCTTAGCTACGCCAGCCATACCAGTGAGAGAAGCACTAGAGGTGTGATTGGTTGTATCTAGAGATGGTCTGAACCAAATGCTGAGAAGACCTCTAAAGGAGGGAAAAGTTCAAGCTCCAATCTGACAGTTTCACATAGTTTCCAGTGTTACTAATGTACCATTATTGAGGGTCTCTTGGGACTGAGCCTGCTGTACCATACACACAATTATCCTCCAATTCCTCTTGAAGCTAGTTCTCATACAAAACACAGCATGATGTTTCCTTACTATCAACTTGGTCAGCTGAGAATATCAGTTTAATAATACATAGAAATGCAAGCTCAACCTAGATGCTTCAGAAGAAATTTGGACACGAAACAGCAAAAAGACATGAAGCTCTACACTTTGGTTCCACTGTAGTTCAGTTTAGTCTTTCCATGTGTAATGTTAATAACAAACCTAAGCTCAGCCATATGTGACGGCAAAAACACAGAGATGTCATGTGCTGCACAGCCAGTCTCCATGAAGTTTGCTCATATCATTTCTAGATCATGCACTCTCTCCATAAGTCTCTTGCACATGTTTAATCTAGCTTTTTATACTTTGTCTTCAAGCCTAAAGATCTGTAACATAGGTAATGGCACTATCCCACATATTTAAATATTTTATACTGATTTGGTTTTATGGCAGGAATTATTGCTTTACTATTGCAGGGAAATCGGCCATTGACCATGGTCCAGATATTATATAAATTCATAACAAAACAAGGAAGAGAAGGACAAGTCTTGGCATAGGCATAGCAGGCTGTTGCCTAGTGTAGCAGGTGGTGAAATGACCATTGGCCCCAGACATGCCCAGCTGAAGCCAAACTGGCTGTGAATTAAATGGAAGTTGATATGTGGAAGTTTAGAGGATGGAGGGTAACAATTCCAAAAACAGTTGTTGCCACCTCCACCTCTTCCTTCTGTTGGAAACAGGAGGAGCATCAAACTGTTTATTTAGAATTCTCCCAATCTCCCTGTCCTTCTTCTTTCTCCGTTCTTGTGACAGGATTGGCTTTGCCTGAGTGCCACCCTGGTCTGAACTGTGATAATAAGTGCTACTGGGTATTCAGCTGAATTTTACTGTGACTGATGAACATTTCATTAATTAGTGACATTCTGTATGTATCAAGAGAGAAGTTATTACCTGTAAAGTTTACTTTCAGGAGATAATCTTTGTACAGCTTCCTGCCGTCCAGATGCTTCATGGCATCACAGAGTTTGGTGGTGTTTGGACACAGAGTCCTCTGCATTTTATGCAAGGCATGGGCCATCGCATAAACAGCATTCACAACAAACATGATCTTGGATTCTTGCTCATAGTTGGAACTGTTGATGGTAAAGTGCTTGTCACAAGCCTTTTTATGTGGTTTTCGGTTCTGGAGATTACACTGGAATTTTTGCTCCCAGAAGTCCTTGAACCAAGGGTTGCGTCTATTACTGTAAGGGTTGAGGCTTTGGAAATACTTGTCAAACTCTTTAACTGGATGGGAAGCAAGTTCCAAGGTTATTGCTCCAGAAGCTATGTGCTCATTGCCCTTGACAATACTCTCTTGTGCTCCCCATCCATCGCTGGCAATCCAGGTAAAAGAAACATTGAAGCGATTGGCAGCTGCAATGAGCTCCCGAGAGTCATCGCCTCGCATGAAGAGCACCACCACTCTGGCGTTGGGTTTCTGAAGCAGCTCTCTGATCACGCCATCGTAGGACTTTCTGATGTTGGACCGTCCCACTTTCTCAGAGGTGGCTATGCAGATGTTGCGGAGGCGAGCTTCCTGCTCAAAGGCTTCAATCCCTGTCTCCCCGTAGTCTCCTTCTGAAGCAACTGTTGACACGTAAGTCCAGTTGAAGTACCGTAAGATTTCAGCCATGGCTTTCGCTTGGTAGAAGTCAGGGGGCACTGTCCGCGCAAAATAGTCGTAGCGGGATTTATCGCTCAGCTTGGCACTGGTGGAGGCATAGCTGATCTGGGGGATCTGGAAGAGTCTGAGCAAATTTGCCACCTACAGAGAAGGAGAAGAACACTGATTTTTAAAGGCTGGTATTTATAAAACTGAGCAGGAATATTTAGAGATAAGCATAAACACTGTTTTTTAATAAGAAGTGTTCTGAAAATCACAGATTAAGGGTGTTGATAGAGGTTGTTGGTAGGATACTCTGGTGAGAACAGTGCACTGTGCGTACGCAGAATAGCTGTTCTGCTGAACAGTTAATTCCCAGGGTCTTACTGGAACTGTAATGGACCTTTTATTTCTGTCAAACTGAGTCAGTTTAAACCAACAGAGAATTTGACACAAATGGACAATATACTTGAGTGTCTGCCTGTGCTCTTTACTAAGGTCTAGGGATTTGTATGCCTTTCCTGTTTGTAATGTGATTCATCTCCAAGACTCATTGTATTTGATAGCCAAATGTACTATTAAGACAGAAATTTTTCTTTTATGCAAATTTCACAGATATACATGTACACGCCTTTCACAGAACTTTCTGACTCCACTTACCCAAGTTCTGAGTCCCCACCTCTCCTATTTTTGACTCTTTTAAACTTTCTTCTCAGATATTCTGATTGCAGTCCTCCTGAGATGTCATATTTGTTGCATGATAGTACTCTTCGAGTATTTCACAGTCATGTTGACCTACAGCTTTTCATAAACAATAAAAACTTTTAATAATCTCTGATTGCCCTTTTTTGTGTGATTTATATTGTCCAAAGTCCTGTTTTTTTTTTTTGTTTTTTTTTTTTTTTTTTTTGTTTTTTGTTTTTTGTTTTTTGTTTTTTGTGTGTGTGTGTTTTTTTTTTTTTTTTTCATATGTTGCTATCTCCCTTGCTTACTTATTCCCAAATCTATTATCACTCTCATAGAAGTGTAGGTCTTGATAATATCTGGAAAGAAATGAAGAAAGGTTATGGCATTTTTTCCTGTGATTGCTTCTTAAATGACAAAGGGAAGACTTTGAAGTCCTGCTCTTGGTGACTGGAAGTTGTGTCCACTAAATTAAATTTAAAGCTGATCTTGGTGCACAGCCCGACAAAACAATCTAAAAAGCAATAGTGTACTTGAGATTCCTAAGGGAAACTTATTAAAAATTGCCCAATCAATTAATTTTTCACATTTTCCCCAAATGTTTCTCTGACCACAGACTATGTTTGTGACAATTCAAAAGCAAAGGGCTGTTTTGAAAAAAATGTTGTGGAACAAGGCAAATTTTAAAGGCTCAGATGTCAATAGCAAAGTAGACAGTCTTGTAAAACTAGTCCAAAGAATTTTATTGCTTTTCAGCAACCCTTATCTCTTGGGATTTTATGGATGTAGATTCTCTCTTTTCTTTAATGAAGACATTGGACCAGTGTCTCTCTGTAGCTTGTCTCCCACCACAGACTGGTGTAATCTCTTGTCTGGGCCAGTCTGCTGCCTAACCATATGTCCACAGTGCTTTTCACAACCACCTGGGCCATCTGAAACAGGGGACTTAAGGAGACCCATGTCCTCCTGTCCTTGTGGAGCACCAGGGAAGAGCAGGGGAGATTCCCTGGCATCTCAAGTCTTTGGGCACCTGTATCTGGGGACCTGAAGCCTGTCTTCATGAAATAAATCACAGACAGTAGTTTATTTTACTTGAAACCACAATAAAGCCTCTACACTGCTTGAAAGGAATATCCTGACAGGGAGCTTTGGCTAATGATCTGTGGTTTTGCCAATGAGTGTAGGCACATGACTGGGACATGATGTGGCTGAACAAGTTACTGTCCCTCCGGAAACAGCTGATGAATCCTTAACCACCCTGCTAGGTGATAACATGCATTAAACTGCCTTATATTGGAAATGTGGGATTTAATTTCCATTGTGGTGATTTAAACGAGTGAGCTTTAAAGCAACGGAATGGGCTGAAAGTCTTGTTTTGTCACCAAGGTGCAATGGATGCTCTGAGGACTGTTAAGACTCCATAGCTTTGTAACTTTTGATTACACGCCCACATATCCACATGGTTTGGTTCACATGTCCTCACTCAAAAAGAGCACTTTGATTTGGTAATAATAAAGTCTTCTGTGTAGCTATTCTGGAACATTTCTTGCAGAACCGTGTGGGCTGGAATAGCTATTCTTGTCAGTTTATTCTAGCAGGAATTATTTTATTTGAGCTAAACCATAATAAGGATATGCACACATATCATTCTGCAATTTTCACCCCCAGATTGGCTAAAAAAGAAGTCCATTTGCTAGCTAGAGCAGTGCTATTCAGTGTGTAGTCAAGACTTCAGTACACAGAAAGATACTCCTAACAAATATAGCGACTTTTATATTGTTTCTCATTTCTTTTAGTCAAAGCAGCAAAAGTATCGATACACAGGAAAACAGAACTACACCCCCATTTTACAAGGGCCCCCTGAGCCTTGGAGGTCAGTATACTTCTAGGGTTCCTGCAGGCTGCCTACAATTCTGATTCCTGTTCTACAGGGAGAAGAGAGCTTTCCTGTGGCAATGCGCTTTGCTGTACTGTTCTTCACTGCAACCTGTCCAGATGGTAGGTTTTTCATGCACCAAAAATTAAAATATGTAAGAAAATCTGATTAATTGTAGAGAATAGTGACCCAATCATCCCTGAGAACTGCGACTAACCATGGATCTCAGTGAAGTTATTAATTCCAATCAGGACACTCTTCTGGAAATTCTGGAGTCGGGGGTTTTCTGGAATATTATAACATCTTGATTTTAGGGACTAATTTTTCAAAAGAGCTCAGGTCTCAGGCACTTAGCTGATGCAGCCAGTTTCAGAATGGTCCCTTTTCCCAGCCGTTTCCATGCTGATCTGAACATCTGATTCTGAAAATCAGATCCCAATAAAATGAACAACAAGATAAGGACACAGGTGACAGGTTCTGGAGAGGAGCTGATACTAAGGGTATGTCTACTCTGCAGTGTCTCAGTGTAGTAGAGGACAGTGCAATGTGAACCAGTTATGTGCATCCAGACCAAACCACCTGAGGCATACCTACACTGTAGCTCTGTGCTGCCTTAGGATGTGTGCTACAGCTTCAAAATTGCAGCATAGATCCAGATTTTGCTAAGTGAAAGAATCTATTTTGGCAAAGCTCCAGGCAGCAATTTAATCAAGTCATGGTGTATGCAATTACAGCCTGAAATCCATATGTTGGCACTTAAGTAGCAGTAGTAGCCAATTTTTTTTTGCTGTCAAAACCAGGGGGTTTTGCAGATATGTAGCACCTTTGAAAATAAGGCTGGATGTTCTGTATCTGCAACCTAAAACAACAGTTTTGCACAGCTTGCTGTGAACAAAGCATGTCAATATAGTCAGTTTTCAGCATGATGGGAAACCTTTACTTGCCCTCACGCTGCTGGGTTTATTAGTGTAGCCACTGTTCTGTGATAAAGTGTCCACTTCCCAAGCAAACCTGACTCTCACTCAGCTGCTGGGACGGCGGGTGGTTCATAAGGAGATGCCCAATGTGAGTTCAGCAGAAAGTCTCCTGTGAGCCCTGTCCCTCTGTAGGGTCAGATTGCACGAGTAAATCCTGCAAATGGAGTGGCCAGGGCAGTGCCAGAGGAGACTGATGTCCCTCTCACAATGTTGGAGCTACATCTGTCACTTCTACTTCTCTGTGCATTGGGGACAGTACAAATACTTGTGGGAAATTTCCAGTCTAGTTTGTAACACTGAAAATGGCTTCTTAATACCTTTCTGCAAGGAGCAGTGAATTAGGTACAGCTATTAAACATGTGAATCTGGTTTCTGAGTATATTTCTGGCCATTTAAGAGTCCTGATGATAGATTGGGTCAGGTAAGTGACATCTATATATCTCAGAAACTCATATATGGATTTATGGAATCCCATTAAGCATTTTGTTTATCCTCCATAGGACTTTATTTTCTGGAAGTAGGATTTGTTCTCATGTTTTTAGTTAAAATTTCCCTTCTTAACAGCCTATAGGCTGTTACATGGGTTGTTTGTGTGCAGGGCTGGGGAGCACAGAAAACACTCCAGAAAAAAAAAAAAAAAAACCAAACCTCAGAAGTTTTAGAACAGATAGGGTTTCTTCAACACAATACACAAGTGTGTATCACACATTTGTTGGACAGAGAAGGTCCCGTTTTAGATGACTGTGCTCTCTGCACTTCTAAAATTTGTTGCGCATGAATCTCATGACACTTAACATGGTTTAATGAATCTAATTTCATAGAGCTCCTTTGAGACAGGCAAGAACTCCCGTGGCTGTTCTGAACAGACAGTAAATTAGGATGCTGAGCAACATGGGATTGTATAGGAGGTTTGCCTCTGTTGAGAAACTGGAGAAATCTATGTCTCTCTGAACTGCAATCTGTCCTAATGAAATTTCAGTTGCTGCCTTTGGTCACCTGAAAAAGTCTTTCTATTCACAAAGATAAGTTGCTTGTTCAGATTCCCACAGCAATGCCATGACAAAACCATGTCCCAAGGATTTTCTAATGTTTAATGTCATTTCTATAGCACAGGAGCTGAGATTTTGCTTTGAAGAAATGTGTTCTCCTACCAGTGTATGCTGTATCTAATTCTTAAATGATGGCAATCTATAGCAGTGGCTTTTTGTTATTATTTGGGCAGCTGCAGGTTAAACTGCAGCTAAAGCATTTGCTCTGATTTTTTTTTTTCTTTTGCTTATTTCACTTTTTTTTTTTTTTCCTTAAATCTAAATATATTTTAACCAAATTTTATCAGAAAGTGTCATTTTAGAAAAGCACGAAAGAAACATTGGTTTTGTTTGAATGGGGTGGAGTGTGGGTATGTGACAAATGGTGGGCATAAAGCTAATGTAAAGAATAAATCAGGTACCTGTATCCAGTCAACTGCTTACACTGGCCTGTAGACCCTCCCCATGCTCCGAGCTCCTGGCTTGTGCATTTTATGTCAAGTTAAAATCTCCCTTCCTTCAATTTATAAAAATTTTCTTCCATATTCTTGTCATAGATCTCTTACAGATACTTTCTTTGTCTTCTTGAGAACCAAC